TGGTCTACTACGCTGCTATTTTTTAGATTCAAATAATCCTGAATTTGTGGAATAGAAGGTGTGGCTAACTTTAATTGCAATTGGAAAATGTTTTATTCTTGTCACTTGAGTTTAATGTGTCAGTACTCCGTTCCACCTAAACTGGTGGCATGGAATACTTATCTGAATCTAGCAGAAAAGAATGTGTAATCAACTTCTTTCCACTAAAAACACTGCCATGTACTCATTTGTATTAACCTTCATTAGAATGAGTAACATTTTAAACTACGTGTCAGTGGAAGTAACATGCCACTCAAACTTGGAAAGTTTGAACAGCAGTTTTGACTCCATTGAAATTGAGTCTACTTTGTTTTGGCTTTTGTGCATTTGGATGGGTAGTCTGAATTGAAATCTAAACTAGACCCAGCTGTTCATATTATAAACAAGCGGCTTAATTTGTTGTTGTTTTTGGACTAAATAAGCATTTAAATTAGCATCAGGGCTAGGCCATGATCAAAGGACAGGATTTTTCAAAAGCACTTAAGTAATTTAGGAGCACAATCCCAACCAAAGTTAATAATTTCCACTGCTTCAGGATCAACAATATTATTTCATACCTGCATTAATGTTATCATTGGGCTGTCTTAACTATAGAACAAAGACGTTTGGGTTGGAGTGACTTGCACAGAGCAAGTTGTCTTAACCTGGAACTTCATTTAATTAAACAAAAAGAATTCTTGAATTTTTGAAGAACAAATTGTGTATGGGGTAGAGGAGGACCCTTTAATGCAGGGGTCTCAAAGTCCCGGCCCGTGGGCCATCTGCGGCCCCGAGAACCTCCCCACTGTGGCTCGTGGAAACTTTTAAAAAAGTTATTTCATCCGGCCCTCATGGCTGCTGGCCGAAGCGGGGAGCGGGCAGGAGAGATTCATATGCCCCTCCCCCCAACGTTTCTCCATCCTGTTGCTGCTCCTGGGACCAGGGCCATGCCTAGCTATTCTGGGGCCCTACACAGCCCCACTGTGGGGGGTGGTGGGGGAGGACCAGGCCTTTGGGGGGCAAGAGGGAACCACCCCCCCAGCACTCATTGGCGATGTGGCTGGGGCCGGATTGCTGCACTTCCTGCCACCACTGAGTGCAGGCCTGGCCCTGCTGCAGTCCTCGGGAGTGGGGGTGGGGCTGGGGCAGAGCAGGGGTGGGGGCTTTGGGGGTGGGGTGGAGTGGGGCAGGGGCGGAGGCTTTGGGGAAGGGGTGGAGTGGGGACAGAGCAGGGGCGGGAAGAGGTGGGGCTGAGGCAGAGCAGGGGCGGGGGCCATGGGGAAGAGGTGGGGCAGGGGCTGGAGCAATACGCAGCTGTGCAGGGCACAAGGAAATTCGGTGCCCCACGCAGCTGGGTACTTTGCGTATGGGTTGGGGTGGCCCTGCTTGGGACCCTCCCAGAGGTTGCACTCAGCAATGTGTCATTCACCTCTGGCAGCTCGGTTCCCTGCAAGCGGTTCCCTATCCCTGCTGTTGCCGGCAGAGCTGTGGCAGAGAGACCCATGCAGCCAGGCTGCTGGTTGTCTGCTGCAGGTGCTGCCCCCCGCAGTTCCCATTGGCTGGGGGAGAGGGACAGAGAAACCATCATTAGTTGCTGGGCAGAGTCAGCCCTGGAGGCAGCATCATTAGTTGCTGGGCAGAGTCAGCCCTGGAGGCAGCATCATTAGTTGCTGGGCAGAGTCAGCCAGGGCGGCATGAGGCCAAGGATGCGAGGGAAAAGGGTGGGAAATGGGCTGGGAGGTGGTGTGAACACCATCTTCAGTGACATTATTGGCCCGCTGGGAGGATTTGAGGACCGGCACTGGCCCTAAGGTAAATTGAGTTTGAGACCCCTGCTTTAGTGGGTGTTTTTTGAGCCTGTACTGATTGTTTCTGGTTTACAGTAATAGTCAAAAAGAAACTTGACTGAAAAACCTTGACTTATTAGAGATGGGCCTGAGTTTGAGTGCAGATCAAAACTTCCCCCAAAGTTCAGGGTTGAGGCTCCTTTTAATACCTACAGAATTAAAATGGGCAGATGCTTTCTTTAGTGTCTGTTTTACGATGCTCTGTTAGAAGCTTGGAGACACTTTCATTTTTTGAAACTGCAGTCTAATTGAACTGTGCTGTTTTGGTGAAGCCAAAATGTTTCAAGGAAACATGTTGATTTCAACAGTTTTTGTCTGGAAGGAAGGGAGGGGAGGAGACACACCTGCTTACCCCTTCTCTCTCCTTAGCTTAGTGGTTAGGGCACTGGCCTGGGATATTAGGAGAGCAGGTTCAATCTCTGTTCTGTCTGATTCAGAGTGATCAGGGATGAAGAGCTCTACTCAGTCAGGCAGAGCAGGGATTTGAATGTGGATCTCCCACATCCCAGGCGGTGCCCTACCCACCAGGCTACATACGTGCTCACACACTCTTTCCCCAATTGAAAAGCTCAGGTTTTGATCTGAAGCCCAACGTTTTGACACAATTTTGCTTCTGCAAAAACATTAGAAAAGTTTTGTATTTGTTCCAATGGGGAACAGAAACACGTGTAAACTTTGGAAGTTGCTGTGAAATGGAATTGTCCTCTGGCCAGCTTTACTGATCAACCTATGTTACGAAAAGAGAGGCTGGTTTCAGTGGGCCTAGCGGGCAACGGGAGGTAAGATGAGGCTAAATCCTTAGGGCTCTGTCAGACATTTCTTGCAGTGGCAGAGAAGGGATGAATCTGCAACCAGGGCTTTGGAGCGAAGCCTGGAGCTGGAGTGCGGAGCAGCTCCAGAGCAATGGAGCTGCAGGTTTTTTGCCTGGAGCTGGAGCACAGCTCCAAAGCCCTGTCTGCAACTGGGGCTGAAGTGATCATTAATGCTTACAGCTTCAACTTAAGTTGTCTTCTATACCAGGACATCCATTTGACCTCTCTCTAAACATTGAATGCAATAGCACTCTGCTGGTAACTAAATCCTTGTGGGAAAATCCAATAGAATTTTAATAGAGATGAAACCAAGAAATTACTCTTAAAAACAAAAAAAACCACAACCCTTTCCCCTTCTCCCCTCCTCCCCCCCATAAAATTTAGTGGAAAATGAAATCCTAGTTTCAAATTCTAGAGATTGGACTAAAAAGTCTAACCAAGGTTTCATTCTCAATTGAATTCCATAAGGGATAGTGACTGTCAACTTTACAACATAGGGAGTGAGATTCCGTGCTGCACCTCTAAGGGGGGTTAATACTGAATTTGCAGGGGAAGGGAGGCTAAGGTTTCTTAAGCCTCCCTTGTGCCTTCCCAATCCTGAACTGGTTCATGAGCCAGAATGTCTGCCAGTGTAAACTTAGTTCTGTAGGACTGCATAAGTTATAGCAGTCTGTAACCAGCTGCCCAGGGGCAGTAAAACTGACTGGAATATCCTCATGCTGTGGCCACGACCTTCCTGCTGGAGGACACCCTCTACACCAGGGCTTGTGAGGAGTCCTCTGAAGGCAGTCTGCAGTTCAGGCTCTGAGGAATTTTTGCCAGCTGGACATGGCTCTTTTAAACCCCTTTATGCCACTCCGGCCCCTTTACCCAATGTGCAGGACAAGTGTAAGAATCCCACTTAACATTTTTTAAACTATGTAACAACCCCATAGATTAGTAAAAGTGAAAGTATATTGGATTCACAATCGGTGAGACTAGTTTCACTTTTATTTGGTCAGTTCCCCTTTTATGTTCTTAGCAGTGTCTTAATTTCTGACACTGCCGGGGAGTATTTATTTGTGTAAGAATTGTTTTCATTGGTATTTAGGAAGCAAGTGTGGAAATTTTTCTGTTGGGGTCTTAAGTGTTATAACAGCTGTTCTTTATGCAATTGTTTTGGGTCAAACTTAAATTAACAGTATTCCTTTCAACTGCTGCTGTGGGTCAGAGTGAGAACATGTGAAACTTTGTATATCTCACAAAAATTGTAGCTCTTTAGCCAGCCATAAAAATTGATTTAATGGACTGGCAGAATTCAAAAACCTATAACAAGTCGCTTGGAATCTGAAGAACTTTTACTCCTGGACTTGAATACCAAGAAACTATAGAGCAGTGGTTCTCAAACTTCTGACTGTGACCCCTTTCACATAGCAGGCCTCTGAGTGCGACCCTCCCCTCATCCCCCCCAAATTAAAAACACTTTTATATATTTACCACCATTATAAATGCTGGAGGCAAAGCGGGGTTTGGCGTGGAGGCTGACTCCCCCATGTAATAACCTCGTGACCCCATGAGGGTCCCAACCCTCAGTTTGAGAACCCCTGCTATAGAGCATGTAGAAATTGATGTTGTCCCTTTTTAATGAAAGACTGTACTCTGTACAACACCTCTCTAAATGTCTCGTGTAGGGTTTTTTTTTTTTTAAGTTCATTGTGCTGTTGATGGGGAAATGTCAAGGTTTTTTTTTAAGGTTTCAGAGTAGCAGCCGTGTTAGTCTGGATCTGCAAAAAGAACAGGAGTGCTTGTGGCACCTTAGAGACTAACAAACTTATTGGTCTCTAAGGTGCCACAAGTACTCCCGTTCTTTTTGCGGATTTTTTTAAATGACTTCAGTCAGCTGATTAACTATTTTTGAAGTTGGATATGAAGAATGTTTCTCTACTTTGGTTTGAGAAGAGTAATTTTAGGGACACCAGAGACACTGCTATTGAACAGTTGAATTCAAATGTCAGTTCTAGTGGAATCTTGCTTTATTAGCTCTAGTTGAAATGTACCATTTTTTACAAAAAATACTTTTTTTTTTTTAAACCGACCCTTTAAGAAGCTTGTAAACAAGCATTGATTCGTACTAGGGATAAAATTTTTACAAAGTAGTCTGTTCTAGCATAATACAAATCCTATTACAAGAGTATAATCTGGGAACTGTAGACTTGGAAGGACACAGTCCAGCCATGTTCAGTGTAGGGGAGAGGAAAACAGCAAATGCTCTATTAAATTGCGCACAACCTGATTATTTAATTGTAGCATCGTCCACTTACGTCCTTTCTGTTTCCCATTGTAGTTTGGGGCAGAATTCCGAAGATTCTCTCTGGATCGTTACAAGCCAGGAAAGTTTGAAGACTTCTACAAGCTCATTCTTCACATCCACCACATATCCAGCATGGAGGTGATGATTGGATATGCTGATGTTCATGGGGACCTTCTTCCTATTAATAATGATGATAACTTCTTTAAGGCTGTTTCGAGTGCAAACCCGCTGCTCAGGGTTTTTATACAAAGACAAGGTAAAATCTTCATTTATTAAGTCTTCAGAGCCCTGGGTTGTCCAATCCTTTATTAGTGGTAGTAATCACATTGCAGTAGCATCCAATGGTCACGGAGGGATGGGGACTGCACATACATAGAGGAAACGATCCCTACGCCAGAGGTTCTTGTGATCTCAAAGGTCCAAAACAGACTAAGGGCCTGGGAAGGGGATATACATGCACTAAGGGTGAGACACTCCACCCTGCTGGGTGGTATAAAAGGGTCAGAGTAGTGTACAAGGACCCTAAAGTCTCCTCTACATGACTTCCCCTGGCACAGGAATGATGGAGATGGCCATAAGGCTGCCTCCCCCTCAAAAGCCATGGTATGGGGGAAGGCCAGAGGTGGGAGGAGCATGCTGTGGGGGGAAAGACCACAGCAATGTGGCCCATAGGGCCATCTGAGGAGACTGCTGTAACCTAGGCAGGCCTGGGGGGAGGGGGGGTCTGTCTCCTCAAAGTTACACCAGGGGCTTCTCTAGTACCCGGAACATCACCCGGAATGGGAGGGTGCAAAAATGGTTTAAAAGTCCCCTTAGCCTTCTCTCTCCCTGGGCTGCAAGTTCAGTATTGCACATCTTGGGGGTGTGGCACAGAATCTTGTGCCAACGTACTACTTGAGTCCTTTGATTTAAAAGGAAACCCAAATATTGTACCATGACTAGGTCTTCATCTCCAGATGTGTCTTCAAGACTTAACTTTAGCTGGCCGTTTCATGCCCTTATTGAACAGGGACACGTGCACATCTATCCATTTTGGAAAGATTGAGTTCTGACACTGTAATCCAAGGCATGCTGAGATACAGTAACTCCCCACTTAACATCCTCTTGCTTAAATTGTTTCGATCTTGCGTCCCTGCTCAATTACAGAACATGCTCCATTTAAAGTTGTGCAATGCTTCGCTATAATGTCGTTTGGCTGCATACTTTGTCCACAGCTGGCAGCCCCCCTATCAGCTCCCCTACGTCCCTGTCCCCCGCAGCGCCTCCTGCCTGCTAGCAGACCCCGCGGATAAGAGTCTTCCCCCGCCTCCTGCCCGCGGCAATCAGCTAGCTTGCGGCATTTAGGAGGGAGGGGCGAGGAGCGAGGTCTCGACACGCAGGCTCCTCCCTTCCGAACACTGCAAGGCAGCTAATTGCCATGGGCAGGAGGGTGGGAGCCTTTGCACTGTGTCCTTGCTCCTCTCCCCCCTCCCTCCTGAATGCTGCAAGCCAGCTGATTGCCGCAGGCAGGAGGAAGAGGAGGGAGGGGGGAGGAGTGAGGATGCGGCGTGCGTAGTAAAGGGGAGAAAGAAGAGGCGGGTTAAAGGTGGGGGCTTGGGGGAGGGGTGGAGTGGACAGGGGGAGGGTTGAGCCCCCCAACCCTGGTGCTTGCAGAGTAGGGGAAGCTGACGCTGCACAGCGTGCTTCTCCTAGCCTACAGCGCCTTCAGCCTCCTTGCCTGCCTCATTGTCTCCAGTGCCAGTGGGCTGTGCGTGTGTGGGGTAAGGCCGGGGCATCTCCCAACTATAGTACTGTACTGTATGGCAAAAAAAAATTTCCCTGGAACTTAACCCCCCCCATTTACATTCATTCTTATGGGGAAATTGGATTCACTTAACATCGTTTCACTTAAAGTCGCATTTTTCAGGAACATAACTACAACGTTAAGTGAGGAGTTACTGTGTGTAGGCATGGCTTTAAGGGCAGATGGCTGAATTAAGGTAATCTGCTGTGTGTCTTCAGATGTGGTGTTTTTACTAACCTCTTACTAGATGTCAAGCAAGCATCCTGTGTAAACATCAGGATGATGTCAGGGTTATTCTAAATGGTTTTCATGTGTTTGAGTAAGATTAGTCTAATGTGACATAGCACTTTATTCATCCAAGTTTTTTGATGGGGAAATGAATATTAAAAATACTGAAGTTTTCAGGATTTTAACTGAAAACAAAAGAATTCAGTAACTGAAATCAAAGGATCTTTAAAGATTCAGTTTTTGCCAGTAACTCAAGAGCAGTATGACTTCAACCACTTCTTCTCTACTTCAGTTTCAAATCTTGCTTTAAATGTTGAGTTGCAACACGATTTCATTGTTTGCTCAAAACTGGCAATTTAATATCACTTTAACAGACTGCCACCCCCATCCCCCATCGTTTAATGTCAGGTAGTAGCTTAGAGCACAGGGTTGGAAGTCAAAACTTCTGTGGCTTTGTCGCTGACTTGCTTTGTGACTTCAGGCCACCCTGGGCCGGATTCTCCACTACCTAGAATCTTGTATATTCACTTACACTCACTCAAATGGATGGAAATAAATACACTAGAAGCCAGGCAGTGGCAAGACCAGAGTGTTTTTTTCAGTTCATACATGTGTAAAATAAGAATGTGGGGAAGGGGTGAGTGCGAGAGCTCCTGATTGTTGCCTACCCCCCATCACTGAAGCTGGACGGGAGATCTGTTGCATCTTCCTTCTACAATGCAAATTTGGTTCCCAGACTGTTAGATCTGTGCAGTCATGTGAACACCACTGGTGGGCCAAGTCATAAGAAACCACTTCTGTGGCTTTTTCATGCCTGTGTCAGTTCAAGTTTATTCACACATCACTAGATCAGTCCTGTTCAAAGGGCAGCAGTCCTTGCTTAGCTTAGATATATGCTGCTGAAAGCACTGTGTCTAACTAAACTTGGTCATCGCATCAGTATATCTGTAGGGCATTACTGTTCCAGTGATTTTATTAATCAAAAAAGTAGTCAAGTGGGGAAAATGATGCCTCAACTTCTCTTCAGTGTAAAAGCAAAGTCTCAGGCTGTGCTAATCTTAGTCAATTGTCTCTTCCGAAGAGATGTGAGTGGATGCTTTTATTGAGGGGACACCATCAACCTGCAGTATAGTTGGTAAAGAATTAAAAGTAGTTTCAGTTTCCATCTTCTGAGTCGTCTGCCAGTTTCAGTAGCTGCGCGGTTGCACTTTCTAGTTTAAATGTGTTTCTCTGCCCTGTTGTGTGAAAGAGCCACAGGAGCAAAAGAGGAAATTGACTGTGCAGGGGAAACAGGAAATTGACTATGCAGGGGAAACAGTGAAACTGATTATAAGCTCTTAACGTTTAGCCGGACCTGAATGTTTGCATTGTGTGCATTTTCACTGAAGCTAAGGTGAGCACAGAGAACTCTGGCTTAGCCTTTCCATACATGAGAATGTATTAATAGAGGGATTTTAACCCTAAAATATTGATATTTTAATAATAAAATAATAGGTATTTGGTATTTGTGGAAACTTACTACTTGCTGTGTGCAAGTGAGCAGTTTCTCTTCTGTCTGGGATAGAGCCTTGAGAAACCCTATGTCAGCCAATACTTTAGAAATCTCCTGACATGTCTTTTCACTGTTCTTGATATCACCTCTTAATCATAGAAATTTGGGCTTTTAAGAGACGCTGAGAGGTCATCTAATCCAGCCCCCGGTGCTGAGTCAGGACCAACGATATCTAGACAATCCCTGACACGTGTTTGTCCAGCCTATTCTTAAAAAACCTCCAATGGCAGGGATTCCACAACCTCCCTTGGAAGCCTATTCCAGAGTTTAATTATCATTATGGTTAGAAAACTTTTCCTAATATGTCACCTAAATAGCCCTTGCTGCAGATGAAGCCTATTACTACTTGTCCTATCTTCAATGGACTTGAAGAACAATTGATTGCTGCTCTCTTCTTAACAGTCTTTAACATATCTGAAGACTGTTATCAGGTCCCTTTTTGGTGTTATTTTCTTCATTACCTCAGTTATCTCTTACTATCTTTCACACCCTGCATTGTGGTGGCCTTTCCTCTCTCTGTCTGAGGAGGGGCTGGATCTGCTTATCTTTAGAGCAATACTGCTCTTTCAGTTGGAGGCCCACACTGCAGTGCAGTGCAGAACCCCTCCATCCTTCTGCTCTTTCTTCAGCGCTCCCAGCTCAGGGTGTGAGAGGGGAGGAGGGAAATCGGTGACAGACACAACACTACAGGGTGACCAGATCACCCAGGTCAAATATCAGGATGCGGGAGGCATGGCATGGCATGGCGTGGGGGGGGGG